TCCTCTCTTCTTCCAGCACGTTCCATGCCCCCCCCCCCAGGATCGCCCGCCCGCCCCCCCCCCTCGGTGTCCACTTCTTCGATCCGACCGATCCGAGTAGATATCGTCTCTGGTTGCCCCGATTCGATTCGATTCCGATCTCTTGGCATCCGATGCGCCCCAACGCTCGCATGACGCTGTTATGCATTCCGGCGCCTTCGATCCGATTCGGTTCTGGCTCCCGAGCCGATGCGGCCCGATTCGATCCACGTTCCGATGCGATCCGATGTTTCGATTCGAGGCCAGCTGGTCCTCCCCGTCCTTTCGCTCCTCTCCTGGCGCACCCGAGAAGGCTAAGTTTAAGTCGGACCTGCCCCTCTACAGGAGGAGTATTCACAAATAGTCAAACAATAGTGTGGGGGCGATTCGTTTAAACTATTTTTGGTCATTTTGGAGTATGTGTTGGCTGTTCTATCTATAGGGAGTATTTGATCATTTGGTTATTTGATCATTTTGGAGTATTTTGATCATTTGATCATTTGATCATGTGTGAGTATTTTGACTATATTATCTGCCTGTAAGGGGACACGCCCGACCTAAGGCTAAGGCCCCCCCCCCTCGCCCACCTCCACGAGCGTCCTGCCCACTTCTTGGCCGCGCCGTGGCCCCGCCGGCCGCACCCCGACCGCAGCGCCCACGCCATGCCCTTCGCATCTGCCCTGCCCTCCTGAGGATGATGCTGCTGATGATGATGCTGATGATGATGATGATGCTGATGGTGATGCTGATGATGATGAGCATGACGATGAGGATGATGATGAGGATGAGGATGATGATGAGGCTGTTGATGATGATGATGCTGGTGATGTGAATGGTGATGGTGATGGTGATGATGATGGTCATGATGATGGTGGTGATGATGCTGTTGTTGTTGGCGATGACGATGATGCTGATGATGATGATGATGATTCTGATGATGATTCTGATGATGCTGAGGAGAAGGATGTGGAGGAGGAGGAGATCCCAAATGCCATCGCCGTCTGAATTGAGGATGCGTCCGTCTCCCAAGGCTTCTGGCCATCCTGCCGCCACGAAGTCGGATGGCGAATGGTTGAAGGCACCTGTCACTGCTCAAGAGATGCCCAGTGCGCCCAACAGCTGTCCGATCTCATTCAACCTATCTGCATTGGGTCCAGATCTCAACGTCTTGTGGCACTCGGGGTAGCACCAGTGTGGAGTAGCCACGCATCTTTCAGACCATAGGGACACAATCGTTGCAGGTTGAAGGAGAAGAGCTCGGACGAGCCAGTGCAAGGCTTGCTTGCCGTCGATGCCGGCACGCTAGCCTCTCCCACCATTTTTTGCCCAGGTTACTGGGAGTTCAAGCGACTAGGACGGCATGCCCGGGCTCAGTCTCGCGGGCCTATTCTAAAATCATATGTTTAACATTCGTTGTTTTGTTTCATGCCCTGCCGTCATCGCGCGAGTGATACTCGAAAACCTAGTTTAAAAAATGGTCACGGTTATCTTCCCCCAGATTTTCCTCCAGATTGTCCTCCAGATCTTCACCCAGATCTTCCCCCAGATGTTTCCTTTGATCTCCCCGCAGATCTTTAACCAGATCTCCTCCCAGATCGTCACGCAGATTTTGAGGTCTTCCTCCAGATCGTTACTCAGATGTTCTCCTCCTTTTCCCCCAAAAATCTTCCCCCCCGGATCTTCACCCAGATCTTCGCCCCCAAATCCCCTCCTAGATCTTCACCCAGATCTTCCCTCAGATCCTCGCCCACATCTCCCCCCAGATCTCCCCCCAGATCTTCTCCCAGATCTCCTCCCAGATCTTTCTTCTGATCTTCCTCCAGATCTTCCCCCAGATATTCTCCCAGCTGTTCCTCCAGATCTTTCTCCAGATCTTCCCCCAGATCTTCGCTCAGATGTCTTCGCCCAGATCTTGCCCCTAGATTTTCCCCCGGATCTTCCACCAGATCTCCCCCCAGATCTTTTCCCTGATCTTCCTCCAGTTCTTCCCCTAGATTTTTCCCCAGATCTTCCACCAGATCTTCTTCCAGATCGCTGAACAGATCTCCCACCAGATCTTCCCCCAGATCCTTCCCCAGATCTCCCCCCAGATCTTTTCCCTGATCTTCCTCCAGTTCTTCCCCTAGATCTTCCCCCAGATCTTCCCCCCAGATCTGGGGGAAGATCTTCCCCCCAGCTCTTCCCCCCAGATTTCCCCCAGATTTTTCCAGATCTTCCGGCAGATCTTCCTCCAGATCTTCCCCCAGATCTTCACTCAGATCTTTCCCAAAATCTTTCCCCTGATCTTTCCCAAGATCTTCCCCCAGATCTTTCCCCAGATCTCCCCCCAGATCTTCCCCAAGATCTTTCCCTGAATCTGTCCCCAGATCTTACCCCAGATCTTCCTCCAGATCTCCCCCCCGATCTCCTCCCAGATCTTCCCCCAACTCTTCCTCCAGATCATCTTCCAGATCTTCACCCAGATCTTCATCCAGAGCTTCCCCCAGATCTTCCCCCAGATCTTCCTTCAGATCTTCCTCCAGCTCTTCCCCCAGATCTTCCCCCAGATCTTCCCCCAGATGTTCCTCTGGATGTTCCTCCAGATCTTCGCTCAGATCTTCCACCAGGTATTGCCCCAGAGTTTCTCCCTGATCTTTTCCAAATCTCTCCCCGGATCTTTCCCAAGATCTTTCGCCATATCTTCCCCCAGATCTTCCTCCAAATCGTCACCCAGATCTGTCCTCTGAAGTTTCGCGATGTTGTCCCTCAGAGCTTTTTCGATGCTTTCCCAATATGTTCACCTAGATATTGATTCAGATCTTCCTCCAGATCGTCCCCCAGATCTTCACCCAGATCTTCCCCCAGATGTTTCCCCATATCTTCTCCCTCAGATCTTTCTCTGGATCTTCCCGAGAAGTTCCCGCAAATCTTGCTGCATATTCACGACGCACTGCACCGCCAAATCTCCCTCAGCACATTCCCCAGATGTTCGCCCATATCTTCCTTCAGATGTCTCTCCAGATCTTCCTCCAGACTTCCCGCCAAATATTAGATCCGAGATGTTCCCTCAGATCTCTCCCAGATCTTCTGCCAACTATTCCTCCAGATTTATCGCTTTGCAACCGCGACAAATCTTCCATTGGACACTCCCCAGATCTCCCGACAGATCTTCCCCCAGATCTTCGCCCTGCTGTTCCAGGGCGTCCTTTGTTTTGTTTTATGCCGCGTCGCGGATCCGCTTCTTGTTTTTTGTTAATCCTTAGTTTTGTTGTCTGCCTCGCTTCTGGACTGCGATCTCTACGCGGCAACCTAGAACTTTAAATTCCTCGTGTTTAGGATTCCTTGTTTTTTTTGTCCGCCTCCCTGTATCCGCAAACATAGCAGCATGAAACCATAAACCATAATACATGAACAATCGACTAGACCAACACATACCAACAATGACACGTAGAAACAAACTGGTTGATGTCTCAGACTGCCTGGCCGACGTGAAACATGCTTGGAGACCCATGCGTGCAAGAGACGCCTCCCCTGCCTCCGGCTCCTGAAACTCGAGGTGCGTCTCTTGCAAGCGGCAGCCGTCGTGTAGCGGGCACCGCCCACGGCGCAGCTGTAAAGATCCCTTCAGCCGTTTCTTTGCCTCTGCTCCCGGGGTCGTTGCATTGCCGACGAGCGTGTTCCTGCATGACGGGCCGGTCGAGATGTCGGTGATCATGCCGCCCTCATGTCGCCGCTACATTGATGGGCCTGCTGTCCACCACCACCACCATAAGTTGGAGGGGGAGGGCGTCCTCCTCTACCTCCTCCTCCTCCTCCTCCTCCTCCTCCTCTTCGTCCTCCTCCTTCTCGTCCTCCTCCTCCTTCCCCCTCCAACTTATGGCGGTGGTGGTGGAAAACAGGCCCTTCTGACCGCCCTTCTGACCGCCCTTGCCGCCGCCTGCACGGATCTGCGGCAGGACTGCCTCGCGTCTCGCACCTCGCCCAGCGTCGGGCTGCTGTGACGGAGCTGATGCCGCTGAGGCCGCTGCTGTCGGTGTTGGTGGTGCCGCCTGCGCAGTCCCTGCGCCAGTAACCTCGACCCTGGGGAGGAGGAGCAGGAGGAGGAGGAGGAGGAGGAGAAGGAGGAGGAGGAAGAGGAGGAGGAAGAGGAGGAGGAGGAGGAGGAGGAGGAGGAGGAGGAGGAGGCAGAGGAGGAGGAGGAGGCGGATGAGCAGGAGGAGGAGGAGGAGGAGGAGTAGGAGGAGGAGGAGGAGGAGGATGAGGACGAGGACGAGGAGGAGGAGTTGGAGGCGGAGAAGGAGGATCACAAGGAGCAGGAGGGGGAGGATGGGGAAGGGGCGGGAGAGCGAGCTAGAGCACGAGCACGAGGAGGGGCAGGCGGCACCAGTCTGCTCGCGCGGTCTCGGCTTTTCCGGGGGAGAGGGGGAATCGGGTGCTGTGGACTGTGGGGGCCTTTTGACAACCGTCCGCATGTGGAGGAGACGGAGGTGGAGGAGGAGGAGCGAGAAGGGAGGGGATTGGGTTTTTGGGGGGGCTCGGGGCCTTCGCCAGCTTCTGTCGGATGCTGTGGGGCAGGCAATAGTAGCGGCATGGTGGCCCCAGCACTCACGTTCGGCTTTGGGGGTTTTCTGGTGCCTTGGATCGTCGTGGACCTGTGTTCTCGCCGGTTCGCGTGCTCTGGACGTGCTCCAGCTTTCGCCCCCCCCCCCCCCCTGTTTTTTTTTCGGTCGTCGGGCCCTCCGCACACGCGTGCCCGCTGCCCGCGCTGGTCTTGTTGGCTGCTGCTCTGCTTGTGCTTGCCGCTCCTGCGCGCCCGTGCGCGCGCACGTCCGCAGCCTGGCTCCGAGGGCGCGGCGCCAGGGGCCGGGGGCCTCGCCCGCCCGCGGGGCGGGGCGGGTGCCCAGCCCGGCGCCATGATGATGCCAGGGGGGTGCGGCGGCGGCGGCAACATGAACATGGGCATGATGGGAGGCGGCATGGGCGGGGGCATGAACCCCGGGGCCATGAACCAGATGGCCATGCAGCAGCAGGCCATGATGCAGCAGCAGATGATGATGGGCGGCATGGGCCAGATGCCGATGATGATGGTGGCCGTGCCCCCAGAGATGCAGGCCCAGATGGAGCAGGTGAACAAGCTCATGCAGACCGACCCGCAGAGCGCGATGCAGCAGATGCAGGGGATGATGGGCGGGATGGGCGGATGCGCGCCGGCTGGGGGGGTGCAGAAGAGCGAGGCCGCGGCGACGACGGCGATCCCGCCGGGCTCCAAGTTCGCCAAGTACGAGAAGCTGGTGAAGCGGAAGCAGAAGGACAACGCCAACGTGGTCTTCGTCGGGGGCCTCCGCAAGACGACCGAGGAGGACCGCGTGTGCGCCCACTTTGCCAAGTTCGGCCAGGTCGAGCATGTGGACATCAAGCGGCAGCCGGACGGGACCTCCCGAGGCTTCGCGTTCATCAAGTTCGCGGACGTGGACGCCGTCGACAAGGTGATAGAGGCCCACGCCAAGCACATGATCGACAACAAGTGGGTGGAGGTGAAGAGGCACGATGGCATGGCCGCGTGTGCAGGCATGGCCTCCTCCCTGCAGAAGAAGGTCGAGGAGGAGGCGCCCACCTCCAAGAAGGAGGAGGAGGAGGAGCCTCAGGACCAGGAGGCCCTCGGGGAGAAGTGGTCGGAGCAGTACCTCGCGATGTCCGCGAAGCTCGCAGAGCAGTACAGTGCCCAGCAGGCCGAGCCCGAGCCCGCCGGCGCCAAGACGTCGAGCAGGCTCGGCGACATGCTGGGGGGCATGGATCCCATCCAGATGATGAAGATGATGGGCATGGATCCGTCCCACGTGGCGAAGATGATGGGCATCGACCCCAGCGAGATGTCGAGGCTAGTGGACATGGACATCCCCGAGTTGGGAAAAATGCTCGGGATGGACCCCGCCAAGGTTTCCAACCTGCTGAACGACCCGAGCATGCTGATGATGGGTGGGATGATGCTGATGAACCCGATGATGATGTGTCTGGATCCGCCCACGACGATGAACATGTTCGGCGTGGACCCGAACAAACTGATGGGCATGGACCAGGGCTCGATGAACAAGATGATGGGGGGCATGATGGGCATGGACCAGGCTTCTCCATCTTCTTCCCCTTCCTCATGCTTCCTCCTTATTCCCCTCCGTATTCCCTTCCTTCTCCCCTTTCCTTCCCACTCCCTTTCCCACTCACTCCCCTCCTCCCTCCCACTGTTGTCCGTCCTCCTCCGCCTTCTCCTCCTCCTCCTCTTCCTCCTCTTCCTTCTTTGCCTCCGTTCTTTCCTTTTGATGCCCTGCGCTTCTTCTGCTGCTCCCCCAGCTGATGCTGCTTGTGCTCTTGCAGCTCCTCCTCCTTACCAGATGGGCAAGATGGGCGGTGGCATGGGCTGCATGGGTGGCATGGGCGGCACGGACGGCGTGGCGGAGCCCCCCGCGGCCATCGCCGACAAGCCCCGCAGCAAGGCCGAGAACAGGCCCGCGCCGACGGAGGAGGAGAAGGAGGAGGAGGAGGAGGAGAAGGAGGAGGAGGAGGAGGAGAAGGAAAAGGGGAGGAGGATGAGGAGGAGGAGGAGGAGGAGGAGGAGGAGGATGGAGGTGTACGATTGGGGGGGCGAGGGGTGGGGAGGGGATGGGAGAGACAGGGCAGATCGAGGTCTGCGATGTTTGGCTGTCTGGTGCCCTGTGCGGGTCTCGGGGGACCTCTGGCAGGGAAGGAGGGGGATGACGAGCAGGAGCAGCACATAGAGGATGATGCTGATGTTGGTCCTGATGGTGATGTCGAGGATGTGGGTGAGCATCATGCTGGATGGTGCCATGGTCAGCGTATGGTGGTGATAATGATGATGCTGAGGAGGCTCATGATGCTGCTGCTGATTCTGCTGCCGACGATGATGCTACTGATGGGATATGATGCTGGGAATGATGATGGGATGATGGTGCATATGCAGATGATGGTGACTATGTGCTGCTGGGAATGATGGTGCATATGCAGATGCTGGCGACTAGGTGCTGCTGATGATGCTGACGCTGCCGATCATGCTGATGCCGTTGATGGCGATGATGATGTTGTTGGCACGAATGTTGATACTGATTATGCTGATGGTACCGGTGATTGTGCTGATGCTGCAGATAATGCTGACGCTGATGCTGATGATGACGGGGATGATGCTGATGATGGTGATGGTGATGATGGTGCTGGTGATGCTGATGATGCTGTTGATGATGGTGATGGTGCTGACGATGCTGATGATGATGCTGATGATGCTGATGATGCTGATGACGGTGGTGAGTGTGATGCTGACGATGCTGTTGTTGATGCTGATGATGGTGAGGTTGGTGATCATACCGCTGATGATGCTGATGACGACGATGCTAACGGTGAATCTGCTGATGACTCTGATGCTGTCGGCGACGATTATGATGCTGCTGATGATGCTGATACTGCCGATGCTGGTGCAGATTATGATGCTGATGACGATGCCGCTGATGCTGATGACGATGCTGTTGCTGATGAGGCTGATGCTGATGAGTATGACGATAACGATGGTGATGCTGATGAGTATGATGATGGGGATGACGATGATGACGGCGATGTCGATGCTGATGATGATGTTGATGATGCTGCTGTTGATGATGATGCTCATGATGATGATGATGATGATGATGATGATGATGATGATGATGATGATGATGACGCTGCCGATGTTGACGAGGAGGGTGAGCTCTTTACTACCAACGATTTCGATTACGACTACGATGCTGCTGCTGCAGATGATGTTGACGATTCGGATGTTTGATGATAACTTTGATGTTGATGCTGCTGCGGCTCCAGATGGTGATGGTAACGGTGACGGTGATGGTGATGACGACGGCGATGGCGACGAAACTATTGATGAGGACGATAATGCCGATGCTGATGAGGATGACGATGATGTTGATCTGATGATGTTATGATTATGATGATGGTGGTGGTGATGATGAGGAGGATGCTGATGCTGATGCTAATGTTGATGATGCTGACGATGATGATAACGATGATCATTATGGTGATGGCGATGCTCATGGTGGTGATGGTGATGATGGTTGTGAGGAGGCGGAGGAGGAGTACGAGGATGAGGAGGTAGCAGCATCGTATGAACGGTCAGAGTATGAGAAGGAGTGCGGCTGCGACGACGGGAGAAACATACTTTTGAATAGCGAGGATAAGTGGGAAGATCACGGAGGTGTGTTAAGGCTTGGGTCATCGGACGGATGAGGAGGACGAGGTCTGGAATGAGGGGGAGGGGTTGCGTAGAGGCACAATGGGGGGGGGGGAAGAGAAGGAAGATGCAGATGGGTAGGATGAGGGCGGCTATGGAACATAAGCGCAAGGACATGCATCGGATGAGGGGAGGAGAAGGAGGAGGAGGAGGAGGAGGAATAGGAGGAGGACGAGGAGGAGGAGGAGGAGGAGAACGATGAGAAAGGGGAGGAGGAGGAGGGTGAGGAAGAAGAACAGTGATGCTGGGTATGAGAAACAGAGGACGCGGAGGACCAGTAGCAGAATGCAGGGAGCAGCGGCATTGGACAATGAGAAGGAGGATTTCGATGACGATGAGGGGTCATGGGGCAACTATTGAGGAGAGAGGGGAGGAGGAGGAGGAGGAGGAGGAGGAGGAGGAGGAAGATGAGGATGATGATGATGACGAGGAGGAGGAGAGGAGGAGGAGGAGGAGGAGGAGGAGGAGGAGCAACAGGAATGATATGATGAATGTGATTTTGGTGATGACATGGATGAGAAATATGACGGTGAAGGGGGGGAGGGCGCGACGAGGTAGCAGGGTTTTATGACGGGAATGTGGATAATGATTATGAGCATGATGATCAGGAGGATGGTGCTGTAGGAGGGTGTTGGATGAGGTGAAGGCGGAGGAGGAGGAGCGACAGAGGATGGGGAGAAGGAGGAGGATGAGGCTGCGGGATGAGAAGGAGGCTGAATGAGGAGAAGGTGGATGTGCTAGATAAGTAGGAGAGAAGTGGACCAGGAGCGGGAGGATCAATTGGGGCAGTGCTTTCATACCCACATTGTCATTCGTCAGCTTGGCCTAGTGGAGTCCCATCAGGGACCAGCGTCCGGACCGACACGGAACAGAAGTTGCATCGACGTGCTTTCGTCGTCCGGCCTGGTTTCTTCAGGAGGAGTAGTCGGTGGCCGAGGGAGCCCTCAGTCGCAGCCCTGATCGTCGCCATTTCGTCATTCTCCCATCCCATTACCCCGCTCCCTTGATGGTTCTCCTCTTGTTCGCTCCCTTTTACGACGGTTACCTCGTTTGATCACCCACCCCCAGCGGCAATGGGGGGATGGCAACATCCTGCCTCGGCTTCAGCGCCACCAGTCTTGAGTCCTGAGGAGAAGGGGGCGGGGAACGAGGAGGAGGAGGAGGAGGAGGAGGAGGAGGAGGAGGAGGAGGAGGAGGAGGAGGAGGAGGAGGGAGGAGGAGGTGGAGGAGGAAGATGCAGGATCCGAAGAAGAGGAGTAGGAGGAGGAGGAGGAGGAGGAAGAGGAGCAGGAGGAGGAGCAGGAGGAGGAGGCGGAGGAGGAGTAGGAGGAGGAGCAGGAGGGATGAAGAGGAGGGGGAGGCAGGAGGAGGAGGGGGAGGTAGGATGACGTTGTGTAAGAGGGACCAGTGTAACCCCAAGATTCATCAAGGATGTTGGAATGTACGCTTCCTCCAAGCTCCCCCTTCATACACCCCTACAAGGGGTCATTTCCACTGAGGAAAGAGCCCCGTCGGAAGACAACCATGTGGAAATGCTGAAACGGGCCAAAACACCATCTCTGGAATTCAACGCCACGAACCAACCTGGCTGTTGCGTCTTGATGATCCTGAATTGTGCCAGAATGCCGATCCTGGATCCCAACGAAGCGAATCAACGTAACACTTGCGACCTGAACCCGGAATCGCTCCAACACATCACTGTTGGTACGTTCACCATGAGAACCCGTGAAACTCTGGCAATTTTTTAAACAAGAAACAAATGTGCGCGGCGCTACGGCGGGAGTCACATTTGGAAAAGGAGCCAGCCTCGATCCGTGAAGCTCCTGGGTTTTTTCAGACGAGCGTGCCGGCTTTATGGCGAGAGCCACATTCCGAAAGCGGCGTGCCCTCAATCAGTGGAATGAGTTTGCGGGGCGCTAAGGAGAGAGCCACATGTTCAAAATGACCCCCCCCTCTATCCGTGAAGCCCTTGCAACTTGTTAACACGAATGTGCGCGGCGCGAAGGCGAGAGCCACATTTTGGAAACCACCCGCCTTTCATCTGTGCATTTCTTGCTGTTCCTTCAGACGAATGTACGCGGCGCTGAGGCGAGAGCTGCATTTTGGAACGACCCGTCCTCCATCTGTGAAGCCGCTGCAGCTTGTAAAGCTTCGTGATCATTAGTGGTAGGAGCGTCTAAGGCGAACCGCTGGGCCCGCCCTACCGACTGACCTAGTGGTGCGACATGGAGGAGTTATTCACGAGGAAAAATGGGGATGAGGAGAAGGAGGAGGATGAGGAGGAGCAGGAGGGATTATGAGGAGGAGGAGGAGGAGGATAAGGATGATTATCAGGAGGAGGAGGAGGGGAAGGGGGACCAGGATGAGGAGGAGGAGGAGGAGATGGATAATGAGGTGGAGGCTTCACCTCTTGCGTTTGCACATGGACGGAATTGGACAAGAAATGGAGGAGGAAGAGGTGGACGATGAGTGAAACAACTGGAGGAGGAGGAGGAGGAGGGATGCGCAGGGATGAGCAGGGATGATGATGATGATGATGATGCTGATGATGGCACTGCTGATGCTGATAATGATGCTGATTATGAGACTGATTATGATGATGGTGGTGATGATGGTGATGACGATGAGGACTATGATGGTGCTGATGGTGACGATGATGCTGATGCTGCTGCTGCTGATGAGGATGATGATGCTAATGCTGCTGATGATGATGCTGCTGATGGTGATGAGGCTGATGGTGTCGATGCGGGCGATTATGGTGAAGATGAGGATGTTGATGATGGTACTGGTGAGGATGACGACGATGATGTTGATGTTGATGATGATGATGACGATGCTAATGCTGATGCGGATGACGATGTTGATGATCATGACGATGATGGTAAGGAGGAGGAGGATGAGATGACTGACGAGGTGGATGCTTCACCTCTTCTGTTTGTAGATGGACGGGCTTGGACAAGTAATGGAGGATGATGAGGTGGAGCAGGAGTGAAAGAAATGGTGGAGGAGGTTGAGGAGGAGGAGGAGGGACGAGCAGGGATGATGCTGCTGCTGATGATGCTGATGCTGATGATGATGATGATGGTAATGCTGCTGCTGCTGGCGATGCTGAGGATGATGCTGGCGATGATGACGATGCTGCTGCTGATGATGACGATGCTGCTGATGATGATGATGATGCTGCTACTGCTGATGATGATGCTGCTGCTGATGCTGCTGATGACAATGATGCTGATGTTGACGGTGTTGTTGATTGTGATGATGCTGCTGCTGCTGCTGATGATGATGATGATGATGATTATGATGATGATGATGATGCTGATGATGATGATGATGATGATGATGATGCTGATGCTGATGCTGATGATGATGATGATGATGATGATAATGATGCTGATGATGCTGGTGATGATGATGCTGATGGTGATGATGAGGAGGAAGAGAATGAGGAGGATGAGGAGGAGGGGGAGGGAGGAGGAGGAGGAG